CCCCCCTCCCCTTGTCTGTGCCATTCAGTAGCTGAATATCTGAGTAGTGTACCTTTGGCGAAAGCAGATTCAGAGTTGTTGAACTGCACGTTTATACCTCGCTCCCCCTCACGACATGATCAACAACACGACAAAAGAACAAAAATATATATTAAGAGGAACTCTGGATGCAGTGTATTTTCAATGCTCGTCACTCCATCACAACTATCTGAAGAAAATGCATTAAAGTAAGTTGTATAAAATCTGCTGGAAAATAAAAAGAGTAACTTCAAATATATTAACATTGGTGCTATTGGAGGGGAGGGGGGGAATAAGTCTACGTCAGCCTTAATCAAAAAACTAAAACATCTAAAGCTCATCAAAAAAAATGAGACGTCTTGATTTTTCTTTTATCGTTTATTCCTTTTAGTCTCATCCTACGTGTGCATCTATGGATAAATTAGGTTATAACTCAAAAAAAAAAAAAGTATTTTAAAAACATATGTTAAAAGATTAATTTGTTAAATCAGTTCAAATTAATTATGTGCTACTTCAGACATTATCTCGACAATGGACTGGCATGAGTATACACCAGCAAGCAGTTCTCCGTCATCCATCCCCATTCAAACCCATTTTGGCTTCTTTTTTTTTTTTTCTTTTTCTTAACGTCACACAATTTTCCAAGCCGTTAAAAATTTCAAAACCTACAAAACACATAAAAATTGCTTTCAGCTGCGTCCATGTCGCTTAAAAAGGAAGAAAATTAGGATTAGCTGTAAGAGAACTTAAACAGCATCGCAAATGTTACAAAAAAAAAGAAAAGAAAAGAAGAAGAAAAAAAAAGATGGCACGGATATATGCTGGAAGCAGATTTGAAACAATCAAAATTGCTGTAAAAGTTGTTGTTTTTCTGTTTTGTTTTTTTTTTCCTTTTCCCACACAGGCACCTGAACATGAAACAACAGAGGAGGGGGAGAGAGAGGGAGAGGGGGGACTTTTTTTTTCTTCTTTTTTTTTTTTTGAAATATACGAGGAACTTGCATATAATAGGAAGAACTTGCTATGCACACACCCGACAAACAAACAAACAAACTTGCCACTCGCAACCTGGAAGCCTGCATCCTTGAGGTGATTGCACATCCTGAGGGGGTGGAAATAGAAAACTCCACATGATCAGGCTTTTATTTTAATAATAATTTGTTTTTTCCCTCTCTTTCTTTCTTTCTTTCTTTCTCAACAACACCAACAGTCAGTCAGTCAGTCAGTCGCCCTCCCCCCCCACCCCCACCCCTGAATCACTCATCTACTCAGCTTCAAGAACCTGTTTTTGGTTTGCAGGCTACAACTCTAAATCATAGTTCTATCTCAATAAATGCATATTCAGCATAGCCTCGGTGCTGTATTAAGTGCTTGAAAAAGAGGAGCCTTGGGGTGGGAGGTTAGGGGATTCTCTGATTTCCCTGTACCAGGACTGTCCTCTCAAAGAAACACAAGACAAAAAGAAAAAAAAAAAAAAAAGGTATTCATTGTAAGACTACAGTAACATCACATACTACTCATTTTGATCACCCTGTTTTACATTTAGAAGCCTACAGATGCATCGCTGTCCACTGATAATACTTTCAACAATTTGGCATGTGGTAACCTGATTATGTCGCTTTGTTTGTGGATTATGAGGGAGGCCTGTTTCTATGTCAGATTGAATGTCAGTTTCCACAACGTAAAAATGCTAATGGTTAAATATCTCCTCGCTGACCACATCCAACACAACTGTTCTTACTCAGAGGGCAGCGTCTGACGGTGCGCCTCATCCATCACACGCCGCGCAACGGAAGCCAAAACAAAAGCTTTTTAAATACCAGAGAGCTGACTGTGATTGGACGTGGAAGTTAAATGTCAAGACGACTTGTACAAAAAAAACAAAAAAACCCACGGCTGCAGTTACCACTTTCTTTCTGCTGCCTAATCAGGACACAGCGGAAAGAAGTGTACTTGAAAGCTCGTATCCAGATTACAGCGACCCCCGAAGAACACAGCGCTGATGTTCGGTGTTAATAAATCAAGAGGTGCTTCGCTACGAACACACGGAGGAGAAAATGAACCATCGAAAACATTGCAGGAAGATTGCGGTCTAGTATAGAAAGAAAACAGCGCATGGAGCAATGTGCTTCTTTTACAAATAAAAATTTTTAAAAAGGGGGGAAAAATAAACACAAACTTATTTCAGAGCCCAAAATGATCAATGACAGCACCTCGCACGCCATGACAGTTCGCCTCAAAAGTAATTATTTGGTGTGTTGTCACAACATCATATGAGACTCTGTAGTGTAGGACTCCAATCGAACATTTCCAAATGGGAGAACGTTACATGACGGGCCATTTGGCAAAAAAAAAACAATATTCAACACAGTCATGGCTTTATCAACACTACCTGAGTTACATTTAATAATTCTGTATTTAGCAACTTTTTTTCTGAAAAGTAACAGCCCAGAGCCATTCTTTCAAGGAGTATTTCTTGTCAGTACATATAGATTTTTTTTTTCTAGTAATTATAAGATAAAAGCAATTAGTTTACATAAAGTGCTATTAATCCACACATTAACCAAATCATAGCTTCTAGAGGAAAGAAACCCAGACAGTTCCTTTGTTATGTTGATTAAACCGATCTTGATTTGGAGATGGTGAGAAAAGTGATGTCACAGCTGGCCAGTTAGCAGTTAGTAAATTTGGGCTCCCTAGGCTTAAGGAAATCTTTCAACGTGAGCTTGTTTTTTTGTTTATTTCCAACAAAAAATAAAAAATAAAATCAATGTAGAATTTGTGCAACAAATTGAACACGCGCCTTAAACATCTCGAACAAACTGGACTTGAACTGCAGGCCGCACCAGCATCTTGGGTGAGAATTTTTGTAGCTCCACATAACCCATTTCACACGCATGGATCACACGGTGTTATTGCACACTGGTTTGCAAACGTAAAATGTTATCCACAGTAAAACATAAAACTCTAACTTATCTTCACATTTCGACACAGTTTGACAAAGTGGCTAGTCGGGGGAACCTTGATTAGTATTGCAACTGTTGTGTTACTGTTATCTTTGCGTGGCGATGAACCTCTGATTCATTCATTTCCACAAGTAAACATGCAGGAAATACAATGCCCTAAGGCAGAAAAGCAAAGACCAAATGCTGAAAAAAAACAAAAATAAAATCAGAGTCGTAAAATGCAACATGTTCCTTTGACAAGAGGAATTGAACAGAAATGCAGGCAAAATAATATGTGTCGACATCCTGAGTCTTGCTGCTGAACAGAGAGCACAAGACACAGAAGACCTCACTGGAAGCAATGTCTCTTGTTCTGTGTGAGCTCATCGTGAAGCTCACCATTCAGATACTAGAAGGTGTATGACCCTGGGTGTATGAACAGTCATGAAATGTATGAGAAGATTCAAGATTAAAAGGTTTTGAATTGAACAGAGACCTGGTTTTAAACCAATTAACACACCTAACAAACAATGAAATGAAGGGGCGTGGCTTTCCTTCACATTGGGCACTTCTGTACCTGTGCTCTGGGGTTCACACTGCAACGCAGATAATACTCATGATGTTGGGTCAGATGAGACAGCATAACAGAAAAAGCGAGCATTTCATTTCTGGGCTCTGATTTTTCCCTAAAGGACTTAAGACAAGGTTCTCCCTTCCTGGATGGGGCCTCACCTATGAGCTTCCACTTAACTTACAGTTTAACAGGACTCCAAAGACGTTTCTTCCACAACTTGAAGGCATTCTTTGCAAAGTGTCTTCTCCTTTCATTCACAATGAATTCAAGCTTGCACACGGATGTGTATGTATAACGTCTAACATATCTACAATGAACTCATTTGAACGCGTGAAGAAAGAAAATGACTGAGGCATCCCATAGTCAGACTGACGGCTGCCACAGTTCAACAGGATAAAGGCTTAGGGAGGTGCAGTCCACGACACCTTCCTTTGTTGAACTCCCGAACATTATCCCTAAAGAGCCATGAGACAAACGACTATCACAGCTCAAAGTTGCAAGAGTCCATTCATCATGTTGGAGAGGCACCAATCAACTCCTTTAACGTCCATCCAGAGCGTGTGTGTGTGTGTGTGTGTGTGTGTGTGTGTGTGTGTTTATGTGTGTGTGTGTGTGCATGTGTGTTTTTCTGATGCCCCCAAACAAGTCTGTTATTCCACCCGAGATTCCAAGGAAAATCTGACATGCTAAACTATCAATGTTTTCACAGTTGTCACTTTTATCTATCCAACAGGATTTGTGATTTCCAAGGTAGATAACTGCAGCACCCAGAAGAGAAGAAGGTAAGTACTGTAGACGATCTACCTCACTGATCAGGTCCATCCTTTGTCGCATCGTAAAACACTACTCTTTTTGGATCTGCAGCAGAGAGGGGAAGAGAGGAGGTGTAAAGTTAGATAGAGTCACACTGGCATATGAAAGTCATTTGTCAACTGTAGACAAGAAACAAACATGCAGATAATGTTCTGCAATTGAAAAAGTAGAGAAAATATCTTTAGTGTCAACAATTTTTTTTATGGCAGATATACTTGGACATGACACTGAGACCAGCACCAAAATGCAAAGCGAAAATATGTCCTCTCCCCAGTAATTACAGCATCCTTCCCTTTAGCTTATGGTTGGATATTTCGCTAACACAGCCTCAAACATCACTGAACTCATGTCTGAGTTGATATCAACAGACTGTTTGGAATAATTGCTGTATTTCGGTTGCCAGCTGGCCCGACTGCAGTACCAGAGGACCATCCACCAGCAGTATGTCACACTCGATAATTTTAACAGTGTGTTTGCTGGTGATTACTCTGAGTGGCTTATGTTTCTGCTGTTTAATAATAAACAATAATAAAACAAATGTGGCCTTTTGTCTTTGAAGCATTTAATATTAAGTGAACTTAGTCGACGCTACGCAGCCATTTGTCCTCAAGAGGCATTTCAGAGGCTTTACTGCAGCTTTTGTGCACGTTTCCAAACAGCCAAACCATTTGTTTTAATGCATGTTATTATCATGTACGGTAAGAAGTAACACAGACAAGCTTCAGGAGCTTTGGGAACAGGTAACCAGCATGTATGACTAAGGAACTGTTACTGCATTAATAATTTGACGATTAACTTAGAGGAGGAAAACATTGCATGACAGTGATGTTCCCAGGCTGCCTTACAGCTCAGGCTGGATCCTCTGTGTCTTTGATGCCGACTATGTGCCGCAGTCATAGTCAGTTCCATTTTTCAACATTTACATTTAGATCAGGACTACAGGGGTTTTCCTGGCTCCGGATGGGCCTTTGGGGGGTGATTACGCACGACAGTAAGAATGATCGGTCCGCGTACAGTTAAGGCAGCGAGTCTGCGTTACCTGATTTGACCAAAATCTGTGCATTTTCCTGCCATTTCTGCTTGAGACAAATTAAACTTGTAGGCTGCATTCACAATTTTTTTTTTTTTAACAATAGAGGTCAGACAAAAGCAACAGCATAAAGTTCAGGTTACCTTGTTTTCGCAAGTTGAAAATGAATTCCATTTCTGTTGAAGGAAAACAAAATGCGTATTATTTCAGGATCTGCAAAAAGTGGTCATAAAGAATTATTTTGAGAAAATGGAAAACTGATTGTCGTAGAAAATTAGATGTAAACATTTCAGTAGACACATGAAATCACTTGAGATTTGACAGTGCTTAAAGGTATAATCCATAAGCTTATCATAAAACAAAGCATTTTTTCTGTTTTAACCATTCAATGTATCTACAGTCTATAATTACTTCTCCATGTATTAGTTCTAATTATCCATGGAGTCATACATTCCTGCTCTAAATGTAAATTACCTTGACTGCAAACATAAGGTGGCTTTTATTGTGATGCAGAATCAAAACATGCAACACATCTGCCCCCGAGGTGAGAGCTAAAGGGTGGCTGTTCATCAAAAATGGAATTTCAACATTTTTTATTTTTTTTTTTGTTGTTGGCGGATCATTTTTGATATTTTTGTGAAGGAATGATGGAGCAAGATTGAGCAGTGAGTGGAAAACGAGCTGCAGAGTGGCAGATGCATGCATTCAACTTCTCAGAAAGATAAAAACTACAGCACTCCTCTGTCGAGTGGAAAAATACGACCACATTTGTACAGAATATCAAATTACAGTTACTGCTGACCAACTTTGGTTTGTCTGTCTGGTAGCAACGTAAACAGATAAACGTGTCACTCTTCTGTAATATGTCTGACAAAGTAGCTGCTCTTGTTATGTTTGCAGTCGTAGGTGTTGTCAAAAAACAGGAACTTAATCTTAAGGATTACAACTTTAAACAAAATGATTTGATAGAGAATGTCATCAGTGTTACCTTTAGTGTGATAAGTGACAGCAGCTTTAACATCAAAGGATCCCCAGCTACACCGCCTGCCAATGTCTTTAGAGTGAGCCTGTTCTTTAGATGAGCCAAACAACAAAGTGGTTAGCTGGCCCTGTGCAGGCTTAGCACCGTTGTCTTTACTAGAGGCCGGCACAGCAGAACCTGCACCCTTGGCCTCTACTTTTGTCTTTTCCTGGCCACATGGCGGCAGCTTGTTCTCCTCCTCGACCATCACACAAGCAGGAGAACAAGCATTAGACACATTGCAAGGGCTACAAGTCCTTTTCTCAGGGTCTTGAGCCAAAGTGCCAGGCTCTAAAAATGATGGGCTAACATCAAAGCAGGGCTGAGCAGCCTTGGCTGCCGCAGCCTCACACTCGCTTTGCGATGTGACCACAGTAGTCTTGTCCTCTGCAGACGCCTGCCCATTTCCTCCTTCTGGGCCCAGGTTGGGCTCATTGATGAAGGAAAGCCCCCACTGATTCTGGAAGATGTCTCCCAGGGCTTTCTGATTTGTCTGAGCAGCCGGTGGGTCAAGGTGACGAGCGCTAGGGAGCACAGGTTGCATATTTAAAGGGTAAATTAAAAGAGTACACTTTCTAAGCTCATATGCTTCTCCATCTACAGGACTGGTTGTAGAGCTACAGTTACTTTCCAAAGGAGATGCTACATTCTCGCCACTTGGGATAGATGGGGCTGGTGGAATACTACTAGCAGCAGGAGCAATGAAGGTACCCACTGATGGGCAGCCGTTTCCATTTCCAGAAACAGGACCATTAGTAAAGCTAGCTGAGGTGATAGTTTTCATAGCAGACATAGGGACCTGTGACAGTCGAACAGGAGGAGGCAGTGCCTCTCCTCCACCTTGAGCTACTTTGTTGAGGTTCTCTTTTACTTTACTTGCATAACTGATCTTGGGAACAATTTTAGCACTGCTATTGTCCACAGGAAATACTGGAGGGGGCTTAAACAAAGTCCATGAGTCCTCTTTTGAAGGTGAGGAAAGCTTGCCTTTGTGCCTTTCCTCAGATTTTTTACCAAAGGTGCCAACAGTTTTGCCGTCAGAGTTTTTCCTCTGAGATTCACCCATTGAAGCCTCTGACACAACAGCCCTTCTAGCTGCTGACTGAGCTTCCACTTTATGACTGGCTCTAAAACCATCGAGTCTGGAGGTCATTCCTTTCTCATTTGTCTCGAGATTAAAAGCCCCCGGCTCCTGTGTACTGTTGCCCTGCTGCATGTCTTTCTCCTTTTCTCTTATCACATTATCAGTGTTCTTGGCGTTGTTACATCTGGTCTTGCGTTTCTTCGGAGTAGTATATCCACCTTCGGAGCCGCTGCCATCATTGTCCTTGCTAGAATAGCCATTTGTAATTAAGCCACAGTTTACAACGCCATTTTGAAGCAACACAGAGTCTTTCTTATCCAAAGGCTGGCCCTCGTGGTGAGTCAAATCCAAGGCCTTTTCCTTGTCATTTTTAAGGTCCATATTCTTCTTATGGTCCAATCCTTTGCTGCTCACTTTTGGAACAGTCGTGTACAGCTTTTGCGTTGACTTCTGTTTCACATTTGTATTACTTATGTGTCTGTTACCATTGCTGTTGGGGGGATGCGACATTCCAACAGTATCAGACAGATGCAGATTCTTCTCCCCCTCCTCGTCACTGATGTTTACTTTTTTATTGCCTGAAAGGGGAAACAAAATCAGTTCATACTGAAATGATAGAGCAAATCTTTTACCAAACAGAAAACTGCCCCAACCACTGCAACGTTTACAAAAAGGTTGTGTCACTTCATCTGACCTTTAACACATATGGAAAATAAAGCAGGCAAAGAATGTGCATTAAATCATTTTGGTGTGCTGTACAAATATCTATATCAGGACACTGAAGTTGAAAAGATACTGTACCTGAAGAACCCTTATGATCATACAATCACGTGTGTAACTCACAATCAGAATAATCCAAGTATTAATGACCCACATTTTACTCACATTTCATATAAAAGGTTTGTCTCTGACATCTACACAGATTAAAATGGTGCTTATATCAAACACAGAATGACACACACAGAAAAATATTAACAAAGCTAGCTCATAGGGGATCCAGGGAAACCTTGGATTTATTGGGTCTTCATGTATGTTTTTGTAGGGTCATAACCTAAGTTCTAAATTAGTCGGGTTACTATGGGGCTTGACACATTTAAACAGGTAGATTCAGAGGATAAACACCAAATGTAGGGTCTAAACTTCAACGTTCCACCTTGTTCGGTTAATTTGCAACAACAGTATTATTTCTATAACAGAAAGCACTTTGGCTCAGCAGCTGTTGTTTTAAATGTGCTACATACATAAACAGTGACTTCACTTCCTATCTAAACCCCACCCATGGACTAGAAGTTTGATAACAATCAATTTATTATTCTCATAGCTTTCCTGACAATGAACCTCCTGACATGATCCAAGATGAGCCTGGCCCTCACTATTTATAACAAGCTGTAGACATGTAGTAAACTGTCAACAGCAACAGGACCTTAAGCTGCTTAACTTTGTTGACAATATCTGGTCTGACATCAAAGAGCAGTTGTTCCAAGGTGTATAAGGCAGGCTCACAGTAACGTTTATGGTGGACATATGGACTGACAGTGAGGCATAAATAGGCCTGTGCATTGCACACTGGCATGGGAACTGCTGTGTCAACGTGGGGCTTCCCATTCAATGGTGCTGCCTCCATGTCTGTAGGCACAGCACACAGCCTGTTACACGAAGGCAGCTTCTTGCTTATTAGCATGTTAATACAGTAGTCAGCCAACGTAAGGTCGATGCGTACAGTACCTGTTCTACTGCAGATATCAACATCAAATGGTCACAGTCGAGTGGCTGCGTGGCTTCACTGGACAACATGCAACAGGCCTGTCAGAGACAGCTAACGTTAGCTAATGTCAACTAACCAGCGGCTCGTTTGCCATTAACACGCCCTGGTACCGATAGCTGGTTGCGCCACAGCCATCCAACAGCAGCAACACGAGTAGGCAAAACACGACAGCGACATGCCACACCGGCCAGGTACCGAGGTTGTAAAGCATTTCCTAGGCAGCCTGATAACTATAGCATTAGCTCGCAGTGATATTCTAACATGGCCGACAGGAAATGGCAGCTCAGAACATTCCAGTGGAGCCGGCTCGGTTTCCTTAACTGGACACAAGCATGCTGATACGAAAAAGATAAAGCTTTGACTGCTGCTGAGGACGATTCGCCACGTAGTTAAAACGATTGAACAACGCACCCGACGGGCTTCTACGAAACGATTCGGATGCATTCATAAGAGAAAAATGTGTGGTGAAACCGGCGCACAAGGTCAATCCCCGATATGTCAAACCACCACCAGCGACAACTGTCACGCAACGTCAACTAGCCCACTAGCTAACATGATGGTTAGTCTCTCGTCCGACGGCAGCCGACCGAGCCAGCTGCTCAGCAGCTCCAACGTGTCGCAAATGATCCCAGGCAACGGCGTGCAGCTCGGACTAACCGCTAGCTAGCAAGCTAAGCCCTCAATCACATTAGTTCACATTTGTTAGCAAATGCTAGTCGGCTCGTTGACATTAGCTGACCAAGGCTAGCAAGCATTAGCTAACTTTTCCGGATGGCCCAACCTGTTTTCTTCGTCTGCGTTTCCTGATGCTGGCACTGGAGGTGGCTCTGATCATTTTTTAGACAAGTTGTATGTTGAATAGAGTGTCTGTCCTCTCCGCGGTGGTGATATTGCCTGTCTTGTGCCCGATCTTTGGGCTGTTCCTCCATTGAAGTGAAGAATGTCGGACTTGTTCAACCAGTATGTTAGCTCACTCAAGTACAGGACTGTCCAATCACTACCAGTGTACAACGGAAGCTATTTGAAGCCTCTGTAAACGTCAGCAGTAAACGTCTAAAAATGGCACTGTTTTGGGTGGTCACCGCCACGAAAATCCATGTCTAGTGTTTGTGCTGAGTTATGCAGGAGGTATTTTGCAAGGCTTGCTGTGTCTGTGCAGATGTTTGGACTGACATTTCACGCTGGAATAACGAGCAGGCGTTAATTTGAAAAAAAAAAAAATCTTTTCAGGGTGGGCAATAACGGGGTGGGGTTCGTGTATGAACCAAAAATCATATGACCGGAGGCGCTGCCACGTCTCCAGCCAGTGGACACACAGTGGTGGAGGGTCACGGAGGGACCAGCCCCACTCCCAAAATGAAACTTGGTGCAAATTCTGGACCAATTCATTGGAAGTATTGGACCTATGTATAACAATGTTCCTGTTGCTATCTTTTGCATTTGTGCAAATATATAAATAAATAAATGAATAAATAAAAATAAAATAAAATAAAATCAGAATGCATGCACACACATATGTGCATCATGCATGTTCCACCACATTATTTGCAAACTTTAATCAGACAATTAAAATAAATGCATACTACAAGGTTTCTGCTGCATCACAACAACCAACTCGCATTTAGTGTTAGTCACTTCGAGTCTGTAGCAATTCAAACCCACAGTCAAAAAATATTAATATAATAATAATGATGATGATTGTACAAATACATGTTGTGCAAATACCTAATAAATAGTGGGAAAAAATGGATGATTTGTGTGCCAGCTACTCTCTAATATATAAATGCCATATAACTCAGTAATTGTATATCCTGTGGTCACAAACAGCAAGAGATCCTCACCTCACACTGAGTCAAAAGGAACGTTTCATGTGCTGTGCTCTGTGTAATCTGGGGTGGGCCGAGTGTGGCACAGGCACCAGTGCACCGTTGCTCACATGTGACATGGACGAGTCAACAGCTCCCTCTCGTGGCTGCAGATGGAAACTCTCAGCTGTTGGATGTGAAGCACTAAACCCAAGACATGCAGTGCAAAATGAATTGTGCAGTTAAAGCAACGTTTATGCAGAATGCAACCAGATTTTCTTGACATTCTGTTGCTGTTGAGGTAAACCCTGCCACACAGATTGACGCTGACAGTCGTGAGGATGAGTTTAAGGTATGGTTCAAATGAAGCTGCATTTTGTATTTTTCAAGATAAGATTGATTTAGCATGTACTAAAGTATGCAGTATCAAAATTGCATTGCTTGTAATTTGAATAGTAGGTTGTTCGCTGTTGTGTAAAATTATAAACTGACTAACAGTGTATATTTGCTATATTTAGAATAAAGACTTCACAATGTGGACTTAGTGCAACACAAGTCAGTACACCTTTGATTGCTCAGATTCAAATCTTTTATTTTTTCTAAACTTATGTCCACATTTATTTTTGATGACTCACTCGATCCATCTTGCAGAACACCACTGTTGCACACATTTCTAGAGACAATTTTTTTGCAGTTGCTTTTTGCTGGAGGGGTTATGTTGCTCTGGCTTTCTCTTTAAAATATCCCAAAAGTGTTCTCTTGGATTCAAGTCAGGTGACCTGCTTGGGCAGGTCAGGTTATTACTTGTTTCTTCTCTAAAGACGCCTTTGTGTTTTTGCCAGTGCGTTTTTGATTGTTATCTTGGTGGAACGTTCCTCTTCAGGCAAGATCCTGCTGTCTGGGAGTCATCTTATAAGCCACTATTTTGGTGTACACAGGCATTCACAGTGCCATCTACAAGTGCCATCTGCAGTTTTTGCACTCATGCAGCTGCATATCACCACACGTCCACCTCGGTGCTTCACTGTCAGGACTTTGCATTCACTGTTGGTGTCTTGGAAAGATTCACACCAAACATATTGGACCCCATGTGTGCTGAACAAGTTTATCTTGGTCTCATCTGACCTGAGAATGTGCTCCTAACATTCATCAAGCTTCTATAGATGCCGTGTGGCAACAGATGGTGCTAACAGTTCACTTTCTTGGCATCATGTCAGAAGAAGCTCTGATTAGTGGTACTCTGGGTTCTCCTATACCTCCTGATTACTGTTGCAGGTTTGATTTGACAGATTTTTAGTTGGTCTCCAATCCTCCTGTATCCTTCTCCCTGCTTTGTTAAGCCTCACTATCAGATTTGGCAGTTGTCCTGGCAATTCTTTTCCAGGTGGAGCCACGATGCAATGAAAGTTCTGGTGTTCACAGGTATTTTTATAACCAGCAGTTAGGGTAATTGGAAATTACAGCTATACTCAGTTTGTTCCAGTGTTCACAGGTTTTACAACATGCGTTCAGTGATGACACGTGTGTCCCCTTTTGTTGCATTGAGTTTCTACTTTGGGGACGGAATTTTCAATATAGTTTTTTTTTTTAATCTGTTTTTGATCATTCATAAGAGGAAATACTCTGATTATAAACATAGAAAAAATGCAAATATTCAGAGAGCATGCGATTTGGAATCATTTCATGTTTAAGTGGTTTAACAATTCAGTGTTAAGGATCCTCTGACCATGTCTTTGCTGCTGTCTTGAAAAAGAGGTCATGCTTGTATCATACATACTCCTATAAGTGCTGATGTATGCAGCCCTGCACCTTCTACTGTATATGCATGTGACAGCTCCTTTTTTAAATAAAATATTCATGTGACATCTTCATTTTATGACAAGATTTATTTTTAAAAATGAGAGGTTTCCGGCGATGCACTGGTCTCCAGGTAGACCCCGTACACTGTGAGGTACTGAGCAAGACATGTGGGAAGAGCTCAAGAGCCAGTTATTGCAGCGGCATTTTTACCACTTGAGAGCAGAGTGAGGATTGATAATAAGCTTGACTGAGAAAGGTATCAGAGGGAGGAGAGATGTAGTGACAACTGGTTCTAGTGTTGGTGAGACGCTGTCGGCTTTACAGAGAGTCGTAGTTTAAAAATGTAAATATCACAGCTGATATTTAAGTACGCAACATTATTTTTGAATGCAGTGTTTAGAATTAAAGCATCTCTTTATTTTTAAATGTAGGAAACAAAAAGTTACAGGGATATCTTAATGTCTTAAGAAACAATACACAGGGACAATTTCTTTTTACTATCAAACTTAGTTGGGCTTTTTTCAACACCAATACAACACCCATTCTGCAAGCCCTCAGGAGAACCTGGCACAAATTAGGCAATATTTTTATTAACTGTTTTCATGCAGCCAGTTTTTTTTGGATATAGTTAATATCATTATTTCTCTGTGTTTAATGTGAATGAAAGCTAGTTGCCATAATTCACCACTCTCCGGATCTCATTAGTGTCTAAAAATGCTGTATTTCCTCGTTTAGTTACATCACTGTGTTGTTGCTTGTGTTCTTGCTGACTGATTGAGTATTGATGATTTGGCTAATAATAATAATAACAATAATAATAACAATAACAATAATAATCATTTTTTTAAAAAGTTGGTTGTGTGCTTCTAATGGCATTATTTCAATGTACAATGGTGTTTCTGAACAACATATCTTCTTCTGTAGCAGTAAATAGCCTCTCTTAAATTCATTTTAAGAATATTTTTAGAAACAAACATTTCAAAAACATTATTGTAGTCTTTATTACAGACAATCTCAAAATGTAACTGGGAACTGTTCTGTAAGATAAAATATGCTTGTCATGAAAAAATAGCATTTAATCCTTTAGTTCTGCAGCCTACGATGGAACTAAACATCTTATATCAATATAGAATATCTTCCCCAGGACTGTAATGCATAGCTAAGGTGAGACATACTACAGAGATGATTGTAGTGATGTATGTTTTGCCTCTGTGATACTCTGTGAACATGTCATTTTGGACTCTGTCGACCATAACACCTGTTAAACTAGTGCAAAGTGTAGAGTAACTGCAAGTACAGAAATGTCTCCATAAAAGTGTGAGTTGATATCATTGAGATGCAGATTGTACACGCACACACAGTAAACTGATGTGTAAAGCATCAGCACTAATAAAAAGTGCATTTCTTTGGAAGTATTAAAAATTTAAAGAAGCCGATGGACTCTCCCATGTCATGGAATCTCCCAGTGGCACTGGACATGCAGTCATAACGCATCTTGCATGGCTCAGCTGAGGACTCTCAGCCTGTAAATGTTTCAGTGAAGAGAGCAGAATTAAAAGTATCCACGGTGGTCGTGGTCCCCAGTCTGTACATTGTCACAGTGTGGCTTGAACATCTTCATGCCGTAGAACTTTGTAGGTGAGCCAGTAGAGGACGTTAAACATGAGGAAACTCATGGGGAACACAGCTCTGGAGATGGTGTCAATCCTTTTCGCCCGATCCACAAAGCGCCTGCGTATGTCGTAGAAGCCTAAACCAGGAGGTAAATCAGCAAACACAGGTGTCGCATCCATCTCTGGTGCACTACCTGTTGACAGTGTGAGTCCATAACTCTGGAAGAGAAAGCCCTGCTGTGCCAGCTCCTCCTCCTGAAAGACAAAGACACAGCAGAGCATAACTGCACTCATTGAGGATCACGTAGTTAAACTGCTGACTTTCTCCTTTTGAAACCAGTGACTGGCTGTTGAACAAGGCTACAGCACTCACCCTGGCACAGGCGCTGCACTGCTGGGCTGCGTTCCCATGAGGAGCATTGTTTCCTGACATGTTGTTTCCTTTCGCCTTACTGTCAGCGCTCGCCTGCTGATGGGGAAAAACGCAGCCCATGAATTTAATCATCAAACAGAATGCCCTGAAAGAACAGTTTGTAGTCGTGACACAGCTCAGCTGTGCCGCATAGATGTTTCAAGTTAGAGCAAATTTCAGTTGCATTGCATAATCCCAATTATTAATAAATTCAAAGGATTGAAGCAGATGTTTTGTGTATCATCGTATAAATATTCAAAGGTATTAATGAATCCTGCAGCTGGTGTCACACTGCTTCATTTAGGAAGTGTGTTATGTTTAGAGATGTTTTGGCCTATTTTGTTTCCCCTCCTTTTTTTTTTTTTTCTCATGAAATCCAAAGTGAGGCAGCAAGACATTGAGAACATTCAGCTAAAACTGGAAAAAGGTGATGGCTTAAATTAATTACAGGTCAGCGCTGTCTGCGTTGCTCGGCCAGAATGCAGCATGCAACTGAACTGTAGCTCATGCAAAGCTGGGCGTAGGGAATAGCAGGTGACAGCTGCCCGAGGGGCTGAGTGGGTGGGCTGCACTCACAGCTCTCTGCCGCTGTTGCTCTTTGAGCTTCTTCCTCAGTCTGAAGAACTCCTTGTGCTGACGTGAAACGAAATTAACAGCTGCATACTCCAGGAGCGCAGCAAATACGAAGAGAAGACACACCGCCATCCAGATGTCAATGGCTTTGACATAGGACACCTGCAAAGTCATGGAAATCCAATCAGTCAGTTAACTTTGCATGACTTTTATTACTCAGTGAAATGTGGTATTGAATCAAAAACTCTATGTCTATGACATTCAACCATGGTGGAAAAAAATATAACATAAGAGAATTCAGCAAAAACTATGAAAGTCCTCTAGACTCTAGAAGTGAACGTCTCATCTTCCAAGTTTTACTCAAGTAAAAGTGCAAAAGTTATGCAAAATATGCATAAAGTATAATTTATGAGAATGTTCCCTATCATTGTTATATATATTTTTATATCATTGTTCCTGCTGTATATCACTAACTTGTAGGAAGCGCTGTCATTTGTAATTGGTAAAGATGGAGGTAATTAAAACTTTTATGTGGAAGGTTTAATCTATAACAATGTGTCATATTATATAAACTGATTATGTCGTGTTTTATATGTCAAATCTGTAAAAAAAAAATAATAATTTTTGACGCACCATATAATCAGCCAATTATTTATGATGCCTTTCTGTAGTTTAAATTTCAAAGCTGCTTACCTGGTGCTTTTATTCAAGTTCAAAGTTAAAAAGCTTTTTTCTTACTGTGATTTTTTGTTTGTTTGTTTTACATTGTGGTATTACTGCTTTTATTTAAGCACTGCATCAGCTTCTTCCTTCTCCTGCATTGTCTTTACCTTTTACTCAGTCATTAAAAGGCCAATCAGCTTTCAGTGAATTGCCAATAAAATCTGTGATTGAACTGACTGGAACTAATAGCTCCATACCTGTTATCACACACCAATGTGGCTCCATTTAAAGCTGTTTATCAGAGTTCTGGGTGTCGCAAATGTGTCCTTTTGCCTGAGCAACATTATGAGTTTGATTTCTCTGATTTTAAAGGCTGAACTTCAGCTTTTCTGAAATGATTACAGTCAGCTCTCACTAATAATAAGTAAATGACAGCGATGCAGCACTTCTATTTGTCCAGTATTGGCTTTATAAGTTTCTTCTTATGAGTAAAAACTTTGTAATAAACATCAAACATTTAAAGACTTAGTTTCAAAGTTACGTTTTTAAACCCCTTTTTAAATCCCTTCCTGCCTTTAACAGGTCAGATGTAACGCTACACCATTGCTCCCTCTAGAATAAGCAGATCTATGAAGTCCCCTCTGTGGCTCACTGTGGATTGAGCACACCAGCTCACTTTCCACCCCTCCCTCAGATGTTATAAAACCCTTCTGCGTTTTACAGTGGCAGGTTGCATTATTGAAGTATTTCAGCCGTACGTGTTTGAACCAAGCAGCGAACTCTGGGGCTGAAAAATGAATCCAACACAAAAGTGCCAAAAACTGCAGTTCCTCAAATAGCAACTAGAGGCTAAATCCAAAAGTGAGACAATCCCCATAGACCCCATGTTGACATACCCAACAGTACAGCAGAAGTAAACATGTTTACAACCTGATACAAAAATGGGGCTGGCCTCTATGCCTAATTTCCCCACTCATGACAACTGTACAGGGGCTGAATTTGAATATAATTCAGTTATTTAAATGATATGGAGGCTTAAAATTATGCATAATTAAGGGTGTGGCCGGTTTAAGCACAAACTACCACTCAGGAAATCTATACATGAGATTGTGGAGGGTTCAAGTATCTTTCATCAGTTGTTTGATCCAGTGAGAGATTTTAAAGAAGAATCATGATGTGTAGTTGACATGACTGGATCTATAGGTTGGTTATGGAACCCTGGCTGTCTGGATCTCTGATGTTGAGACTAATTGATACACTGCAATTTCGAGGAGGAAATGTTCAGCTATGGTGTTGCTTTTTCTCTCCGGATGTGTCTCATGAAAAAACACCATACGGACATGTCAGAAAGATTTACATTGAAGGGGATCTTTAAAAGTTAGAAATGTTGAATACAAAAATTCAATCCAATGGCCACTTTTTCCTGAATTCATCACAGAATTTTTAGAAACAACAACCAACCCCATTTTTCTCTCACCTTTGGCAGGGACGCCCTGGAGCCAGAGCTCTGCGTCGTCATGGTGAGCACGGTGGTGATCCCCAGTCCAACTCTGGCTGGAGCCGCATCCATGTTGATCCAGAACGACACCCAGGACAGGATGACCGTGAGCAGGCTCGGTATGTACATCTGGATCAGGTAGTAGCCCATTTGGCGCTCCAGGTAGAACTTGACCTCGATGCAGGTGAATTTACCTAACCACAGGAGGAGGTAGAGGTGCCAACTGACAGTCTTATTAGACGCTGATTGACAATGTGCATGGAGGACGTAGGACGATGGGTGGTCATATGTCATGTACCTGTGTTGTAGTGCTTGGTGCAGTAGCCCAGGCCTTTCTCCTCTTTTAGCACGAACTGAGGGAGCATCAGATCATCAGCCACCTGCACCGCTCCCACATCCAGCCATTCAAAAATGAGGTCATTCATTGTGTAGCCAACTAGAAGAAACAGAGAGATAGTGTACAGTTTGCAAAAAAGTGTACAACAAAATCTAAATGTAATGTTCTTTTATCGTCGAAAGATGAACTCACAGCTTTCAAGCTGCATCGTACACGTCTGGCTGTCCATGGGGAAGTTTTTCAGATCCATGGGACAGGACAGAGTGAGCGTGAGCCTGGAAAAGAGATGCAGCAACACCATAATGGTACTGGAATGGTGTGTAAAATGAAACCCTTACACTCTAGCCTGTGACTAGACAGAAAGGTGAGCGGATACCTGGCCAACCGCTGCCTAAAAACCCCACAGCACTAGCTTTCTCTTGCTCCGGTGTCACTCAAACCCTTTTTGCACACTCACCCTACATTACGGGTCACATCAGGCTGCTCAAACCTCTCCGGCACCTGTCCTCCTTTCCATCTTTCTATTTCACTGCACCTCGTACAAGCTGCAGAAAGAACTGACAGGTGCTGACAGACAAACTGTCAGCCTTTATGGTGGGCTTGATGTAAAATGGGCTGAGAACACAGCACTACCATCAGAAGAAGAAAAAAAAAAACAAAGGAAACAGGAGAGTGCTTCCCCCCCTTCTCTCAGGAAAGAGAGATCAAGATTAAAAAAAGAACATTTCATTACTTAGTACAGGTTTTGGCACTTTACTGATAATGCATTGAATTTCTTCAGCTGTGACGGCTTTCTTTGTTGAGTCACAATATCTTCAACTACTTATTTCACTTCTTTTTTTTTCTTATCCAGCAAAGACAGAATGAAGCCTCTCACACAAATGAGCAATACTGCAGGGAGAAGGAGCTCATAAATAATAATATTTATTGACTTATTTATACGTCTTGAACAGATTCCCATAACCCTGTTATTATAGCCTCAGGGTTTAAGGTTCAGCATCCAGCAGCACAGATGATGAACCGGTTCGTGTTGCTAATAGAGGTTTAAACATTGCTCCCTATTTCTTACATTCTAATTATAACTCCTCACCATTACGCTACAATTCACCACTGCTTTAGTGCCACATTACTGACCTGATTCTGTTTTAGCCTGCAGTTATGGTTTAACACGAAGTTGTTCACAGCGTGTGCTGGACAATACAATTACAGCTGAACTGAACTGGAGTGAAATAAAACACGTAGTGGACCATATACTTAGAGTACAACTCATAGACGTAGAAGTTCCTATTCAGTGGGCAACCTAACAAACCGCTCTTACACGTCATACTATGTGATAGGAATACATTCTGGTGCATTAACTCAGCTGGGATTCTCACTTTAAAAAATCAGATCACCTGATGCTGTAGAGGACATTTCCGTTCTGGAAGATCCGAAGCAGTTTGTTGTCTGTGGTAACCTCGTGGAAGTTTGCTCCTTTTTCATTTGCAAAGAACAGGTCAGGCTTCCAAATGGAGTCCAACATCGAGGGGTCCAAGTCCAGAGAGTCATCTGGGTACTCCTTATATGCCAGTCGGGGGTCATTCCACTGCTGCCGTAGAAACACATTGAGCCGGTAGTCCTAACAACAAAATTAGAAATGACACCAACAGCTTTGCATAACTGAAAGTGGTAATTTGAGATTCAATTGTCACAAAATTAATCTGAGATTGTGCAGTGTTCTTACATTTGACTGTTTTACATTTGTTTATGCATCTTATTGGGGTGAGAGGAATAAACCACAAGCATGAAACTCTTAAACCTGCAGCATGTGTCAACAGTTGAGGGCTGCTACAACCACACAAACACTGGCTGTGTGAGGAAATGCAGACAAACAGAGCCAAGTGCTCCTAATCTGAGCGACAGCAAACTCCACTTACAATTCCATAAATTAAAATTTGATGGCTCTCTCTTAGTCATATTTTAGAAAAGTCTTCCCAACTCTAAACTTGCATAAATCAACAAAACACAGCCATCCCCAGACACCACCATAAATAAGGGATAGTTCCTTATTGGACAGTGAAATGCAGGAATCATCACTGACATTATGTAATGAACTTACAAGATGGTGTTTAGAGACATTAATTAGTCATAATTTAATGACAGTATGTTTAGGCATCATGAAACTTGGCCTCTGTAAACAGAGCGAGAGGAGCCAGAAATTCCTCAGAGGGATAAACACCAAAGAGCGTAATGCATCTGATAAATGAGCATCAATCAGATGTGTTGTCCAAATAATATAGAACGAAATCCCTGCACTGGCAACAAGTAAAACCACCAAAGGCTTTTCTTAGGTACCATTTTTTGGGTATTTATTTTTAAAAAACATCCCCAAATTCAGTCAGTAAGAGCTGTAAAACTGTAAATGAACAACCTCAAGGTCTGTTGATAAAAGGTACAACACAGCAAGTCTCAGAGTGAGATCTGACAAACCCCAGCAGAAATGATCGCTTTCACTGCTGCCTAATCAAGTATGTAAATTAGAGACTAAATACCACCTTATAACAATGAGCGAGTCGACACTGATGTTCTAAAAAGTCTCAGCTGCAATGTGGAAACAGAGAACAACGATGCTGCATCTGTTTTAATCACAGTAGCAGTAATAGTACTGTAGCAGCCTCTTTAGAGACTCTGCCACGCTCAGCAACTTTTAAAAATCGGTGGCAGGCTGCATTTGAACAACAGATACAGCTTGGTCCTACTACTCCAGAGACAGCTAAGAAACCAATCAGGTTATTATTACTGAGGTTTCGTTCAAATTACAATGCACTAAGATATTAATGACCAAACAAATGCTAGAAGCGCATTTCACAACAGTGCCAGTGATGGAAGTGCAGATCAGTGGATTATAAATCTATTTAAGTTCTGTACAATTTTCTACTTCTATTCTATGATATGCAAATGAACATTTTCTGCTTTCTACACCTGCTACAACCCTTAACTGACTGCTTTAGTGGCCTCTCAGGCTCAGAGTACTGTTGGTTAAATTACTACAAAATGCAACCAGCTAAAGAAACACTATAAAAAATTATGCATGTAGAGTGACATCTGCACATGAATGCATCATAATTATTACTCTGCTATGTCATATATTCTGTGAAATGGGCCATTCGCTGAGTGCTTTACGCATATTTTGATGATAATATATAAAATATCGAATGCAGGGCTTTGACTTGTAGCAGAGTTTCTTTACACTGTGCTACTGACTGAAGTAAAGGATCTTCCGCCACTGTGGTAAACATTATTCTTATGCTTTGCAGTTGCAGGATCAGGAGAGATTATTTTGAGTGGCAGAAGTTGAGGATAACAACCTATAGCTCCAAGACACCGATATGAAACTTCTATTGAACAATAATATGAATATAAACCTGCCTACAAACCTCACAAGATGATTGGCACAAGTATCGTGCAAAGCATATGAGGAGGAAGTCCTGTATTACTTACATTACCATCCTGTACTGTAAGTCAGGCAGATTCTGGACTAAAATAAAACCTTAGCTTAACTGATACCCCTACACAAGAGTGCTACATTTGAAATCTATGCATTTTGGCCTAAAGATCATAATTGGCACTGAAATTTTAGTTATCATGCACTTGCTGAAGACTTACACTTACTCAGTACTGTACTTAAGTGCAATTTTGAGGTCCATTTAATGCCACTTTCTACTTCCACTTCACTGCATTTCAAAGGCTACATTTCACTTTCTACTCCCTAACATTTATTTGACAGCTCTAATTACTTGTAAGAAGATTTTGCACACAAACTTTTAAAATGCAACACATTAGTAAATATTAAACATGTTTTACAACCTCTTTGACCTCCGACATCTTACAAAAAGCAGCGTCGCATTTTAGACGTCTATGAGTGAACAGCTCCATCAAATAGTGTTTAAACTTCTCACATAGTTTCATTTAAAAAAATGTTTAAATGAGCCAATATTTCAGCAAGAACTGATATAAAACTGTATATAAAGTAGTTTAAGATGGTGCCGAGGGTGGCTGTCACGGTGTGTTGGTGCGCACTGTTTTGTCTTATTTTCAGGCTACAATCTGCCTTCTTTCCAGGACCTGCACGCCTCCAGAACTCTGAGGTGTGCAGGTAAGATTGTGGCCGAAACCTCCCGCCCTGGACACAAACTCTTCCAATCACTCCCCTCTGGCAGGAGGCTTCGGTCCATCAGGACCAGAACCTCACGCCACAAGAACAGTTTTGTTCTGTCTGCCAGCAGCCTCATGAACAAGGACAGGACCCCCACTGATCCCCCTGCCCCCTCTATGTACAGTAAACGTTACATTAACGTGTTCTCTCTTTGCTCACCATCTCATTATCCTCATTGTTATTGGTCATGTTGCACCTCCACACCTTACACTCTTGTAAATTATTGTAAATAACTACAGTTCAATGGTTCGTATTTAAACTTAATTCTTCACTGCACAAAATCTTTTGCTTCTGCTTTGCACTACTACAGTTATTTTCATTTTTAGTGGCTTTTAATTTTTTTTATATTTTTATCTTGTACATTGTACCTTACTGTATATTTATGGTTGCACCAACCCACCGGAACAAATTCCTCATATTGTGTAAACTATACCTGCAATTAATCTGTTTCTTATTGTGATTCTGACTAAGTTAATCCACACTTACAGCAACTACAACAATAACATGCTGCTGACACGCTTATGCTTCTGTAAAAACAAGAAAAAATCTCATGATGTCAAATAAAATATGTCAGCCAGAAGTACCAAACCAGAACTTTTGCTTTAAGTACATTTTGCTGCTACTTGCCTGCTTCATTTTTGTAGGATTTTTCATGCAGGACTTTTGATTGTAATGGAGTATTTTCATATTGCTGTATTGGTATTTTTACTCAAGTATAAGATCTGAATACTTGTTCCACAATTGGTTTAAATCCATACAGTGAAGACAAACACTTAATTTACTGGTGTTATAAAGTAGTAATTTCTCACCATAGTAGTTTCAGTGATGGATCCGAAGCTGTTGATGAAGATGTTACAGGTGACGTTGACGGGAGGACCTGACAGAGACACACTGTCACCACACATCGTACCAACACTGATTCCTTAAATACCGCTGATGATGTTTTCTCAAAAGGCCATGCACATGAAGTATTGAAGCAGGTAGAGAGCAGAGCACTAATGTAAAATAACATCTGCTTGTTCCCTTTTTAATGTGCCACACAGTGTCTTGATAAACACACTCATCTAAGATAACCAGCATGAAATTGTGTTGTCATTTCCAGTACGCTCCCATTAGCGTAGTCCATCTGTCAACCACTAAAACCTTAAATATTTCAGAGACTCATTTCCTAAGAGGCAATAATTTATTGATTCTGCTTTAGTTACATTAGTGTATTTATAGATAATCATCCGGGATTTACCCAGCATGCACCAAAAAGGATGTGGAGCAAGGATGAAATATATATGAAATGCGACCCTAGAGGCTGAGGGGGAAGTATGTCAGAGAGAATCTGCTGGCTTCACTCAATAGGGGGGATCAAGATTGGACTGAAATAGGCCTATGGGATAACATACAAGGGTGGCTGCACATTTCTGTCAAGAAAAAAAAAACTGATCTGAAGGAGTTAAAAAAGAAAAAAAAATGATAACCTAAGGCTGTGGGTCAATATACACACAGTAACTACACATGACAAAGAAAAAAAAAAGACTTCAGTGTGAAAACATCGTAGCCTGCAGCATCTCTCACTTCTGACCCATCTGTGAGTGATTTGTGCCACTTCACCGCTCAGATTGTTATGCAAATTGAGCAGCACACTTTCTCACACCTGTTTCTGGAGGAGGATGAGGAGGAGGAGGAGGAGGTCCTCCAGCTGCACGCCACCGTGTGTTACCTTTGAAATTTGGTCTGATGCGAGCGTCATAGCCAGACGTGCGTCCCATCAGTTTGTCCAGAAAGTCAGACGGAGAGGGGGGCTTGGGCGCCCTGCTGGGGAACTTCATCTCCTTACAGAGCACAGACCTGCCAGGTGACGGGACAATCAACTCTGGACATTTCCTTGTGATTTGATTTTTGCCATCACATATTTATAATTTGGTATTTAAACTTGTCCTGCTCACTCAACAGAACTCAAATTACATTAAGCTATTTCAAAATATCCTTCAAACTGTCACATCATCAAACTAAATTGCTTCAATCTTTGGTCTCTTTCTTAATCCTGCTTTTTTACAATCATTTTAACTTAATAGAACTGTTGTCTCTTAATTATACATGAAATATTTTATGCACCTTCACTCCCACTTTCACAGCAATGTTTACAGCGTCTTAGTCAAAAAAAAAAAAAAAGCAGTCCAGTCCATCTCCTGGTGCATTATTTTATACTATAATAGTGTCAAATTACATCAGCCCACTCTGTCAAATAAACATGCGACCTAAATAATGTATTTACTAAAAAAAAACAAAAGAGGTTTCCTGGATTCCAACTTAAAATTGTCTTACCTGCCTTGTAGAAAAAAGACAAACAAAGTCCACAAATGTAAGATGTGCAGTAGCATCCTCAGTTGGCGGGCACAACAGAGAGAATGAGAAGTGAAATTGGGGAGAAAGAAAGCGGAGATGCGGGGAAGTTCTTGTTGCTCCTCCAGTCAGACTCAGTCTTGTGAACTCAGATGAGCCTCCCTCCCTCTCTGCAGGTGTAAAATACAGGAAGCTGCTGCTGTATAATTCAAAATCCTGGGGAAGTTTTTTTTTTTTTTTTTTTCTCCTTCTGCCCGTGTTTGTGTGGATGACTTCAAGCTTTATCTCTTTTTTATGGCCATATGCATGCTGAAGGAATTACTGCAAGAATATTTAAAGAGACAGCAGCGTTTTAAAGGCAGTGGCGGCACGTTGCTCTTCATGACACACACAGCCTAACTATTGGACTTTTGCTAAAAATTAAAACAATTTTAGAGAATCCATTTTAGACAGTTGCTATTAAAGGTTTAAAAACCATAAATAAACACACACACACACGGGACCATGCTTTAAATTTCTGGACAATCACACAGCACTCGAGCAGATTAAAAGCAAAACCACAAAGTTGAATAAAACCAGTCAGTATGAAATAAGTGAAATAAATTCTGTATTTCAATAACTATTCCTGCATCAAAATAAAAGCGTTCACAAACTTTACATTAAAGTGGCCGCAACATCTTCTCTGCATCTATCAAGACACCTTGGAGATTGATCTTATCCTTTAAATCAAGACTAAATCGCATCCATTGGTGAGAACACACAATCAAAGCATCCAACAATAGGATGCAAATACAAGAGACAGGGAGAGAGAAGAAAGGTAAACCACAAAGTTGGCAAGATTGTTGGCGCATGCAAAGGAGGAATGAGATGAAGGCGTTTAATTTCTATTAATTAAAATGTAACACATCTCTTTAAGTGTCAGTAAACAGCCAGAGGTCACGTTTAGCGCCACTGTCGAAAGTTTCTGGTCTAATTATTTCATCTTCAAATCGCCAGACAAATTGAAATATAAATGTGGAAGCTCATGTTTATTCCTCCATACAGAGGGGGAAGGCAGTTCAGCCATTTACTCATGTAAAATTAATGTCAAAGAAAGCGATGGGACGTTATGGCTGCACGTGTTTGCCTCACACTTGAAAGGCCATTCCACACTTCGCTCTGGAGCCCACAGTGTCAAATAAGATAAGAAATGTGTGAGAGTATAAAACATGAATGCATTCCTAATAACAAGAAGCCTTGAGTAAGAAAAAGAATTTCTGCATGCTTGCGCATTTCTACCTCCGGACAGGATAAGTAGGCCAAGCTTCATTTTAATGTTATTTTGTTGGATTGCACATTGGATTTACTTAATTTGATCATACTTCCACACAGTGTGAAATGAACTCGTCAGGTGTCTTTTATACAAGCCTGCTTGTCCCCATTTACACTAACAATAAGTGCTTTAAGCTGAGGTTAGACCTTTGACTCACTCAGTTTCCATGTCCAATCACTACAGTTCACATGTATGACCAGAGTTAATCTTCCAAGCAGTACACATTATGCTTCAGGACAGATGAGCTCAACTACACAGACTTTAACAACAATCACAGCTCAGAATGAAGGTCAATATCACTCAGTGCTATTATCTAGAGGCAAAACTGAAAATATTGTGTTCACTCCAATTTAAAAATAGCTTTTATTGCAGCTTTTCTCAGAACAAGCTGCTCTGATCACACAGAGGGAAACAAGAATCAATGTACAACATTTTCAGCCTGTTGGAAGGGAAGGCAGATGGACAATCACACAAGTTTGTGGTGGCAGGAAGATGAGAATGATTTTTCTTGAAGAAAAAACAAACAAACAAAAAAAAGCGCAGCAGATACAAATTCCAAATATGAAAATATTTCAGCGACGTGACATAAGTTACATCGATCCTCCCATTTGGTATGCATGACCAGTTGTGTCTTAAAGAAAGTGGCAATGACTGCCAGAGTTCACATGAAGAGTAACTCCCTCCCATGAGCCTCCGCCATCCTAATCCTCATGAATGTTGAACAGCTTGGCCACTTCGTTCAGATCTGCATGTTCCTCTCCATCCTTGATGATCTACAAACGAGAAACAGTTTGCCGTAACCAAATCTATATTTAAATAGCTGCAATGACACAAAGCATAACAACAGTGCTTACCTTCCTTGCGATGGGCATTCTGTTGAATACATTCCACAGGATAATGCCCACCACCACTTTGTCTCTCAGGTAGAAGATGACTCCTTTGCCATAGTCGTCTTTGTGCGTCACAGGAGGAGCAGGTGTTACAGAGGCCTCTGGGCTGGTGGCTGTGTCCTCCGTTTCACTTTCCGAGCGGATCCCAGTACCTGTGACATGTTTAAAGTATTTATGGAGAGGCTCAATCTCCCTCACTGTCCGCAGAGTCGCTTTTTATTCCCATATTGAGTCTCTTTTCGGCAAAGAATGTGTCTTTCAATTTCAAAGATGGTTCAATCATTCATTTTAGCCTGGTCCTTCAGGAAGAAAACTCTCTCTCTGTCTGTGATCGACACACTCACAATGGCGGACAGGCACCTTGCACGGCAGCTCTGTCGTCATTGGTGTATGAACGTGATCTACTCTCAGATGTACGTCACTTTGGATAACAGCGTCTGCTAAATGAAATTGGAAATTGTAAAAGAAATGGTCTAATTTGGGGCGGCTGTGGCTCAGGTGGTAGAGCAGGTTGTCCTCCAATTGCAAGGCTGGCGGTTCGATCCCCGGCCCCTCCACAGTCTAAGTGTCCTTGGGCAAGACACTAAACCTGACGTTGCTGCCCAATGGCAGGCAGCACCTTGCATGGCAGCTCTGTCACCACTGGTGTATGAATGTGTGCGTGAATGGGTGAATGAGAAACACACTGTAAAGTGGTAAATTACTGTAGAATTCACAGCACAATTGTTGCTGTTTAACTTGTGTGTGGTGGGTTTGTCAGATTGTGTTGTGGTTATAAAATCTACAGTTCAGCAGTGAAGAGTCCCAGCTTGGAGAACGGTGATGAATGACTGCTGGTTAACATGCAGTCTTTATGGGCTACTTGTCAAATCACAATTTCACACTTGTTCCGTTGTCTGACAACAGAAACAGAAAAATATACAGATGAAAACAGCTTTACCGGGAATCCGGCTGTATTAAAATGCAGTGTGCTACTATGTGAGCACAGAGGGCAGGAGAGAAGCATACAGATGCAAACACCAGCTTAGTTAAGGTTGAGGCTGAAGCACAACAGGTGAATCAGACTCGGTAGGAGGGGGACTTGAAGAATGGCAGAAATAAACATCTTCAGATTTTAACAGCTTTTAACTTTATACCTCCAACTTTATAACAACCACAAAACACAATGACAATAGATTGTCACCATATGGGAGCTTAAACTTTTTTAACGTCCTACCTGACTTCTCCGTAGCAGCTTTAGGTGTGTCCTTGGCAGTGGCTTTGGCAAATACACCTACTGTTGGTAGACTGCTGTCAACGATGCCGATGGCCTCGTAGCCTACATCAGGACCCAGGTCACTCCTGAGACAAAAACACACGAGAGCACGATGCACTCCTGTTATGTATTATAAGACCTTACAGTTCAGCATGAAAGCGGAGTATGAATCAGACAGCATGCTATGTTTTTAACAAACAGTGTCTTTTATATTAGAACTGTTGTTTTTGGTGTGAAATAGAATTCCAGTGTATTTGAACCTGGTGTGCTTCCCATGAATGTGTCATGCTAACTTTGTGTTCTCCGTCTTGATTGTGGAGATTCGGGGAAATGAAGTTCAGGTTAAAAATTGGTTTTCTTTGGAAAACAGCAGAGACCTCGTGCTAATTACTCCGCTTAGCGCCATTCACAAGCTGTTGTGTGCAACGGCTCATTTCCCTGAATCTCTACTGAGGAGGTGAAGAGCGCAAAGTTAACATGACACTTAAAGCCACAATAGCCACACTATCAGGAAACACATCAGGTTGAAATAAAAAAGGAATTCTCTTTCACACAGTGTACTGTATGTCGAAACTGGGCATACAGTTCTTATGCCAAGAAGTTTTGCCTACATTTTCTAAGGAAAAAAAAATTCTTTTCTGTTAGAAATACTTTTCCTCCAAATGTGAAGTACAGAAACTGTCAGCTTTTAAAACTTTACTGTCAAAACAGCTTCCCAAACACATACTGCTCCTATTATAAACACATATACACACACACACATACACACACACACACACACACACATACACACACACACACATGCACAGAACAAACATGGCTGAGAGGACATTTGTTAAAAATTAAGCTGTAAGCTTCACTGACAGCCCCCTACAGCCGCTAACTGATGAGTTTCAAGATAGCTGATGACCTGAAGTTATGTTACAATCCGCTGACCTTCACAAATCACATGCTGCCCAGAGAGCCTGTACACTAACTCTACTGAATCAGAGTCATCCACACCAATGGCTTATTTCAATTTTGGGGAAATTTGCAGACACATTTTCAGTATTACTGTTCCGACATCCCTATAAAACTTGGAAAGCATTTTCAAAATAATGTAGAATAAAAGAAAAAAAAGACAGTTTACATTCAGTTTGTATATTTTCAATAAAGCATTTGACCAAAAATAACTTCTCCTCAGCATGTTCAGCCTTTGATTTTAAAATGTCATATGATGGACTGTGGCTGATGACAAGTTAGATATATAGAAGCAGTACTTGGAAATGTGAAATGAACAAACAGATGACTGCTGTAGCAATGATTAGGTGTTTTGTGTCCTTTAGTTTGAGAGGCATTCCTGATTACCCTTATTCATAGAAACGGCAGCATATTATCCGATTATATTTGCTGGTGTGTACGCTGTGCTGGTTTGACTAATGGCTCTGTGTATTTTTTGGACAGCGGTGCGCCCATGTTAACAGCAGAACATCATGTTTTACCAACTGTGTCTAACACGCAGGCACAGCATTCGTCTGGGTAGTGAGAGTCGCATTCCACGCCGCAGCTCCCTCAATGTCTGCTAGTCGCCCCTTGTGATCTTCTCAGTAATGTTTGACAGAGTTAGATCTTTATCAAGACTATACTTAATGTACGCCTGAGTGATACAGCCCTCTGCTGGCAACTCCTATATTAATGTCCTCTAAAGGCATTTTAAATATTTTAGACTTTAAGGTATTCAACACTTGAAAGCAACCATGCATGCTCATCTGACTTCTAAAAGGATTACATCTCAGTCATTTGCAGAGTTGTACATGCTAACCCATTGCTCAATTATTTAAATGTATTCAATGAATGCGGTCCTGTGCGGTCAACAATTTAGGCAGACTCTTTCTTTTCCCAATATTTTCCCTTCATTGCTTGCAGCCACAGCCCCCTCATTTTGGTAAACAGCATTAAATTTGTGACCCACGAAAACCTCAAGTTTGCATTGTGAGTAGGAAGTAGGTCGTAGTCTAATACCCACCAGAACATAGACTGATGCCAGTAGGGTTTGTTGGCTCCCGTCATGTTCTCCCCTGCTAGTCGACCACTCACGACGGCGTGATCGTGGTGCTCCACTCGTCTGCGGCCGAGTCTGATGTCGTAGAAACAAGCAGCATCTCCTGCCTAAAACGAGACAGAAGAGATTGAGTGCAGATTAGAATGTTCATCCATCCATCCATTATCTATACACTGCTTAATCCTCACTAGGGCCGCAGGGGGCTGGAGCCTATCAGGACAAGTCGCCAGTCTATCGCAGGGCTACATTTACAGACAGACAACCAAGCACACTCACATTCACACCTACGGACAATTTAGAATCATCAATTAACCACAACATGTTTTTGGACTGTGTGGGAGGAAGCCGGAGAACCTGGAGAGAATCCACGCTGCACGGGGAGAACATGCAAACTCCACGGTGTCCTCACCAGGACACAAACCAGCGACCTTCTTGCTGCGTGGCAACGATGCTAACCACCAAGCCACCTTGCAGCCCCAAATTAGAATGTGTAATTAATTATAATATTCTTTTATTTAATCCTCCTATTATCTTAGGGGGTTATTCTGATCCCATTCAATGTTTAACATCTCTAAATAAGTCATTGACATAATTTTTTCAGTTTTATTTAAAGAGCTATTTACACATAAACTTGGGTAACAATTTTAATTATGATATTTTCTGGAGGTTTAAATTGCTGGGGTCAAATGAACCCAAGGATAAAAGATGTCAGTAAATTTGAAGGTAATAGGAGGGTTAAATAAAACACTAAACTTAGAAGAGTAGACAATACAGTGTATTATGCCTGAACCATGATCTGAGTTGGCCTGAGGAGGGCACTGTATTCATCAAATAGACTAGAAATATCAAATATATGCACCAACATTACTCATCATACACTACAAAAACCTTTTATTGAAAGCTGGTGTACATGTGTGTTGTTGATCCGACTGTTCAAAACAAGGTCAGGTCGTGTTGTTAAATAGTTGCTCCACGACCGGTAATCAACTTGTTTTAAAAGGAGGTGAGATTTAGTTGAAATTGTCCCACAGGGTTGAGCTTAGACAGATAAACTGCCACAACTAATAATTAGATTCACTAAATGTCCAAAGTCCATCAAAATCAGCACAGGAGAGTACATATGCTGTCACAACACTAGATCAGTTTACTGCAGAACACCTAAAACTCTCACTTGAACATTGACTTACCACCCAAATATTGGACCGAGCTTGCAGCTCTGCATTGACCCGAAAACCACCAAAGTCAGAGTCCACCTCCAGACCGGCTGACTTAGCAAGATCAACATTAGGCTCCAGGCCAACTGCTGCAACAATGTGATCGGTTTTCACCTGCAACATGAAGCAAGACATAAGCACTAAGTAACAACCACTTCCTATGTCCTGATTTAGGCTGTATTTGGGCAGTAAACTAAACTTACCAATCGGCCGTCCTTCAGGTGGATTTCTAATTTATCGTCTTTGCAAGTCACAGATTTCACCAACGCTTCGGAGATGACTTTTACACCCTCTAGAAAAACAAGGACGTTGTATTATTACATATTACTTAAAAATGAGAAAAGATTAAATTTTTAAGGCAACTCTCTTTTCTAGTTGTAAAAAATGAAGCTTGACGTGAACCTTTCTTGACTTTTTCTGTTGTCCAGTTGCTCAGATACTCAGGCAGCACTTTTCCCATGTTACCCTTCTCAGGGAACATCTGTATCACCTCCAGGCTGGACTCATTTGCTACAAAGAGAAAGCGGATGAGCAACAACTAAGCAACAAGTTAACTCTGTTTAACATCAGCATTGTCGTTTATTCTGTCGCTTTCTCGGCTTGTCGGATCGTCTTACATCTCCTGCCGAGGGCGCAGGCCAGCTCGCTGCCCAAGAAACCGCCTCCGATGATTGTGATGGACTGTACGTTTCTGGAGACTTTGTCAAGTGATTTGAAATCCTCAATCTGTGGTAAGAAAAAAATTATTTTGCATCAAATTACAATTTTATGTAACAATGACATAGCATACATTGAAATAGATGGGTTTTTATTAACCCTCCTATTATCTGTGGGGCCAGTTTGACTCCATTCAATGCTTAACATCTCTAAATAAGTCATTGACATATTTTTTTCAGTTTTATTGAAAGAGTTATTTACACATAAACTTGGGTAACAACTTTAATGATGGAGGTTTAAATTGCTGGGGTCCAATTGAACCCAAGGATAAAAGATGTCAGTAAATTTGAAGGTAACAGGAGGGTTAAGATAACCTCTTTTGAATATTTTAGAGGGACTATAAATACATACAAAAATTTATAAAGAAAAACCTGTTTGGCTTCCAAATAACCAATTTAACACTGGTAATATTTGCATGATGCCATGCTTTACCTATCACTTCAACAGCCAAAATACTGTATACACAGACATTCCCCAAACTGTAGCACAGCTGGCACCCTCTTGTGGCAGAACACTGACCTTGCGGAACAAAGTGGTCTTCTTCATCACCTCCTCTCCGGCTCTTTCGATGACCTGTAGATTTCTTGGCACTCCGCCTGTAGACAGATGTTCGCATCAGGTTTTGGACATGTGCAATAACAAAAAAATAAATACAAATTAAAAACGCATATTTTAAGGCAGCTCACCTGTAGCAATCAAACACTTGTCATATGAAATCTCAGTATCATCATCCAGTTTCACTTTGTTTCCCCTCACATCCATGTGTACCACCTAAAACAGAAGAAATATCTGTTAGGGACACAACGTTTGTTTACAGGTTTACTCACTGCGAGACAAAAGAACAACACAATAAATAAGTGCATTTATTTGTTCCAATTGCCATCTTATTCACTGTACATAGTTATGAAATCAGCACAATATAGTGGCTGACTGATGAAGAAAAACAAAACAGAAAACAAACCTTTTTGCCAGCAAGAACAGCCACTCCCCCATTTTCTGCACTTGCCAATTCTTCTGGATTAATGTAGAATGACGGGGGCTGAAAGTAGATACTGAAAAATAAAAACAAAAGGAAATAAATGATTTAACGTTGCTGAAATGCCTCCACTTTGTACTGTGCACATTTTAGTTTGTGCAAGGACTTTTTGTCCATCAGGTCTCTCCATCAGATGCAAGTTTTGTTTTGCACCGACACTGGTTTGTGGCATAAAGTAAAGCAGATTCTGATAAAACACAAAGTAAGACTGTAGACAAAGCTTTAAAATAAAGGTGCAGCTGCAGAGAAGCTACACATTTTAAAATGTGGACGCTTCACACACTGGGCTGTCATGACATAAGGTTCCTCCCACACAATTAACAAGGCCAAAAGAATTCACAAAAAAAGATTTATCTGTCAAATTCACATCTTACTTACTTGTGTGTTTTGTCTTTTTTTTTTTTTTTTTTTTTAAGCAAATGAATTACACTCAAAGTACTAGTATACAGAGGTGAAGAGAAAGTCAGTAACCATCACTGTACTGTATGTTGTTCCTGTGTCAACCACATAGTTACTGGTGCTTATTTACAAGTTATAATCATCATGACGTCAATAACGATTTTTATAAATTCCATGTATAATTGTCATTCTTAAAGCCGAGACGCCCTGTTTACACTCCTCTACAGCATCTCAACACAGACGATTTATACGATCACCAGAGTGGTGGCTGAAACAGTCACGATCTTCCCGTCTGTTGCTGAGTTTTAGTGTTGAAAAATGGCCAGAGAAGTGTTTTGCAGAACATTATGGCATCATGGTGAAACTGACATTTAGCCTTTTGGGTATAAAAATTCATCACTTCAACATTTTATCCTATTAGACATTTGTGTGACATTTTGTCGTTATTAGTGTTGGAATTCTTGAGTTATGACTAAAGACGTGTGACCTCTGCAAACCAAATTAATGAGTTCATTTTCAAGTCCAAGTGGACAATTGTGCCAGATGTAACAAAATTCCCTGCGGGCATTCCTGAGCTATTGGGCTGGATGGATGAACAATCCAAAAACATAATGCGGCTGGTGCCTCTGCACCGGCGACATCTGTGGCTAGAGGCATTAAAAAAAAGATTTCACAGAACAGGACAGTCTTATACTGACTGGGAAAGACATAATGAGACAATAAAGTCTAAGGCTGACAAGGAGAAGTCAAGAAAATAAGGGTAAATAAGGGAAAAGCACATTAGAGGACTTTAAACACACCTTCTTTCTTTTCCGTTCCATTGTTTGAAACGCAGCGTTTCAGTCACACTGGGATCATCAGAGAACCACAGCTCTTTTGAAAGAGGTGGTCTCATGTATGGAAGGTCTGGCTCTTCAGTCACAATCAGTACCTGGAGGAAAAAAAATAAAAGACATTAAATGTCACTTCATAAATGCAGTGAGAAAAAAAATGTAACAGAGAAGCATAGGTCCAACTAGGTGAATAAAAATCTGAATTTGGAGAAGACAGAGGCTTAACTGACCCTGGCACCGGGGTCTCTGGCTCGAATAGACCGGGCAGCGGCGAAGGAGGCAGTGCCTCCACCAATCAGGAGGTAGGGGGTGTGTGCGGGTACCTTGAGAGAGGCAGGGGTGGAGTCTGCTGCTGCTGAAGTTTGCATGAGACAGCAACAGCAAGCAAAGGAGAGAGTGTGACAGAGAGAGAGCAAGACAGAGCAAGGCAGAAAGCAAAAGAGAAAAGAGAGACACAGTCAATGAATGATCTCACTGGTACGCATGACTTACACAAACACACCTGGGAGAGGTAAGGGCACCTGGTAAAAGAAAATCCACTTTTCACATGGGTGAGATTAACCTTTATCATTACAAGGACCCAAACAAAGTGAAAAAGGCATGAACAGGGAGAAAGGAAAAGCTGCAATGGGGGAAAAACAAAAGGTTAACATAAACAGGAAAAAGGTGTTTAACATTAACATTATCATTATCCGAAAAGGGAGAAAGTATGAGGTCGTGTTTGCCCACTTCCCCGCTCCAACAGACGCTGGACTATGGTCTTACCACTCTGTGCCACAACTTCCGGCTGAGGCTCGGGTGGTGCTGCTGCGGGTGTTTCTGCTGCAGCTGCAGGTTCTGTTAGTACAACCGGATCATTAACCAGTCAAAATGAGACAACCTTAGCCCTCAGATGTCATAAATGTATGTCACCGCTTCCATGCACAGGTCTAACCGAGGGCTTACCACTCTCCACAACCGGTGCTGGGGCCAGCTCTGCGAGCTCTGCTGGGGGGGACTCGACGAGCTCTGCTGGGGGAGACTCGACGAGCTCGGCTGGGGGAGACTCGGCGAGCTCGGCTGGGGGGGACTCGACGAGCTCGGCTGGGGGAGACTCTGCGAGCTCGGCTGGTGGGGNGGGGGACTCGACGAGCTCGGCTGGGGGAGACTCTGCGAGCTCGGCTGGTGGGGACTCTGCGAGCTCGACTGAGGGGGACTCGACGAGCTCGGCTGGGGGAGACTCTGCGAGCTCGGCTGGGGGCTCTGAGGGTGGTGATGGCTCTGGTAGTACAGTGGTAAAGTTATAAAATAACCTCTAATGTGAACTTTAGCTAATATGTGTAATCCATCTTTAACTGATGTGTACTCTGTGTCCACTTCACAGGCTCAACTCAAAGGCTAAAGCAGAGTGTCAAAGGGCTCCAGTGTGCAATCATTACAAAAAAAAAAAAAAGAAAAAACTGTCAAGTGCAACTAAACTTTTTCATTGGTCACACCGGTGCACCAAACATTTAGCAAATCTGTGTGTGCATCTGTCTGGCCTGCCCTGGTCACCAATTTAAAAGGTAAATCCTACATTAAAACCCCTTACTTTGCTTTTTTAAAACACAGTTTTAGCAACAGACATGTCTGAGCTGCTGTGCTGGAGTATCTGAGCAGAGACTAGAGACTTCTCTGTGCACTGTTACCTCATAGCCTCAATTGATCCACGTGAGGTGTTTAAAGACCATTAGTAAATTGTAGCATTAACCGAGAGTCTGCATGTGGGGTGTCAAGGAGAAATGTGTAAAATGTAGCGTCAAAAACAACCTGGGATACACACTCCTCCTTTTAACTACGAGCCTATGCATGGACATTAGTCACACGAAGTCAACCTATAGAAAACACCGTGAGATAATAACACAGTCAGCACTAAGCATTGCATTTGTTACAAGGAGTGCACCATTAGCATGGCTGCAAACAGAGTCTATGCTGTTGAAGCATAAACTTTCTGAATTAAAACTTTAAAACAGCACAACTCATTCTGTGAAGTGACCCGGCTGACTAAACCTGTCTTTCCACAGCGTTTCAGCACCACACTCAGGCGAACCCCAGTAGTGAGGAGTCAGAAATGATACTAACAAAAGAGGTAACACTTGTATTATTGTAATGTATTATTCACAGCAAAAATCTTTAGGTTATGGCTAAATTATGTGCTAGTGCATGTAAATAAAGAACACAGGCACACCAGGGCAACCAATGTAAAAAGTTAGTCTGGAGCCCTGTGGAAATGTCACAGACACTACAAGCAACATTTCATTAATTTAAATAGCATCATGTAACCTTTCTTTATAAATCTTACCCTCCTCAACTACAGGTGCAGCAAGTGGTGTTGCTGCCTCTTCTGGTGGTGCTTCTACCACCGGCTCATCTGCTGTTGAGGCAATTCACAGTAATGGTTTAAACTAAATTCTTTAAATAGTAATGAAAGGGGAGATTATCAGGATCCATGCATTTCTTCAACTTTACCCTGGAAAAACTCTGCAGAGCATTTGCACTAGCACAACAACAACTGACAGCTGCCCAATTTGAGGTTAAATTCAACAGAATTGCACAATCTGTAAATTATATTATACCTGAAAATACTACCAAACACATTTGGTAGAAATATTAACAAGGAGTTAAGTGTGCAGGTGTTTCCACATTTAAGGGCAGCTACCAGTGCCGGACATCACATTACAGTTAAGGTTAAGAAACATGTACTATCCCAAGACAGTGTTGCACAAAGTTTGACAGTAAGAGGAAATGTCAGACAGAACAAGTTCCATTCTATCTTAAAAATATGAGAGCAAATAAGGTAACATATGTGTGACAAATACTGACAACGCCACACAATGTGTCCCACAAAAAAACAGAAATATCTACAGTTCAGACAGGAAGGTGTGCACGTGAGTTTCTACTGAAACTGTCAAGGGTTAATTGTCAAGGTTAAGGAGCACCGACTTAATGAAATACAGCAGAACACACTGAAAACGAAGCATGCAACAATAAATACTAAAAGGATAAAGAAAGATAAACACATGCAACACAGAGGCAAAGTCACCGATCGTGCAGTAAACCTCTCAGCCTCTGGATGTACATGACATTTACATAGACAAGACAATACAAGTTAGAATATTCAGAGGACCTCCCATATAAAACGTGTCATCACTGTAAAGTTGTATTTTTAACATATGGACAGCTGTGTTTTACAGCCTGCTTTTTTTGCACTGACCTGCCTTACCAGTTGGTGTCGCATTTTTATAATAGCTCTCTTCAAAGTACAGTATGCATACAAAGTGTAATATTATTTCACATCTTGTACGCTTCTAAATTTGCAGTTCAAAGACACTCTTTATACAGGAGGCCCACGTTAAACATGCATGTGTGGAGACAGTAAAGTGAGCAGACAACCTGGAGGTGGTGCAGTTGTTTCACTGGCGACTGCTGCTTCAGTCTCAGGGGCTGGAGGGCTCGACTTCTCTAGTGAAGGTGCTGCTTCAGGTACCGGCTCAGGGACAGCTGAGAGACAAATGAAAAGAAATATTAACTAATATTCAACAAATAAAAATTGAAGTAAAAAGCAATTTGGTTCTTTGGTCAGTGACCGATTTCAACTAATCCACAGCTTATTCAAATACAGTTTTAAACGTAGTTTGTTTTGAAGTCTCAAAATCTGCTGTTTACATGGAAATAAGGAGGAAGCTGAAGCGTGAGCTGCAGAGTCAGCTGATTCAAAGCCTGCTCTGACAGCAACTAACCTTCAGCTACGACTTAAAAACATAAACCTTTCAATCACAAGAGTGACGCTGCAAGTGTTATACAAGCGTTGCTCTTAACAGGTCTGTAGCTAATGCACAAGGGCTCTGATAATTTTCTGAATGTGTCCTATGTATTACTATGTATTAAGCTGCTAACATAGGCAGAGTTTGGTCTGTAACTCCTAAAAACCATTATATCTACTCAGCCATGACAAAAAAAAAAAAAACACTCACCTTGCGTCTTTGTGGCTTCCACAGCTAAAACACAAAAAAAATCAAAATGTGAAATTCTTAACATAGATATCTTCACACTTCTCAGGAAAATTAACAGTAAAGGTGCAAGTTTTACTTTCCCTAAAATCATTTCTTAAAATCTGCTCACCAGGTGGCTCTGACTGAATGGTTGCGGCTGGTTCTTCTGTGGCTGCTCTCTGTGATCTCGTCATAATTTCTTCCATACGCTCCTGATATCTTTTTTGGTCTCCTTTCAACAAGAAGTACGCCTGTGAAAGTGAAAAATGCACTATATTTAGCCACGACCAGTTTAACTGTTACATTAGCGGTCAGTCAATGAGTATTGACTGTCATCTTCTCCCTGTGAATATCAGCAAAGTGGCCGTTCTGGATGAACCCTGACACATGATCAACACGTACTAACCACCAAAGACACTGGCTTTTTCCTAATGTGTAGATTCTTATGCATAATGCAGCACCGTGAGAGAAGTGTTTTTTGTTTTTGTAAAAAATATTCTGCAGCATGAGAAAATAACCCCAAACATACAGCCGTAGTCTTAAGGAACTATATGCAGTGTTTTACACGTGACAAAACAAGCAGCGCTGCGACAGATGGTATTACACCCACGGAGCCCTGATATCAAACATCATGGAGAGATTACATGAAGAAACAAACAGTTTAAAACCTGTGCAGCTAGGAAGACTGATGCCATTTTTAAGACATTTCATATTTTCTGTTTTCAGCACTTTGCATGAAGTTGACTGATAAATATGAACCATTCATGACAATATGTTTATTTACAGTTTACTCACATATGTCAGGCTACCAACGCAAGCTGCTCCAACCATGACGACGTACTTCAAGTTGTCTCCACCCAGACCTCCCGGCCCGGTGGACATGTTGGCCGCCGGTACACATGTTGGTGTTCTGCCATTGTTTAACACTGGAAACAATTTGACACATAACAAGAAAAAAAAGTGGTCATTTAGCATGGACTGACACCTTCTCCAACCTTTGTTTCTGTTTATGCTTATCAGGTTTTTCAGGTTCCAGCTATCTGAATGACAAAGTCGCTTAACTAAACATTTAATACATATTTGCTGTCCAGAAAATAACTTCTCACAAGTTCGGGCGGGATGTAACTTGCATGTCACTACATGCTTGAGCCTCTTTTCTTTAGTTTACAGTAGGTTTAAAATATATATATATATGCAAAAACAATAACACTGTTATGACAAGAGACTGCCTTGTGCAATCATCCATCCATTATCTATACACCGCTTAATCCTCACTAGGATTGCAGGGTGGCTGGAGCCTATCTCAGCTGACTCAGGGTGAAGGCAGGAGACACCCTGGACAGGTCACCAGTCTATCACAGGGCTACACTTAGAGACAGACAACCAAGCACTCTCACACTCACACCTATGGACAATTTAGAATCACCACTTAACCTCAACATGTTTTTGAACCTTGTGGGAGGAAGCCGGAGAACCCGGAGAGAACCCACGCTGCACAGGGAGAACATGCAAACTCCACACAGAAAGATCCCGGGTGTCCTCACAGGACGCAAACCGGCGACCTTCTTGCTGCGAGGCAACAGTGCTAACCACCAATCCACCTTGCAGCCCCTCTTGTGCAACCAGCAAGCCATAAAATATGTATAACACTGCTACAGTGAGCATAAGTGTAAGAACGACTAGTGATAGCTGGGGCCTGATAAGAGATAACCTGTGACTAGCGATTACTTTCATTCTTGACATCTAGAAAATGGTGATAAATGTTGGTAAGCAATTCCCACAATCCAAGACAACAAATGATTTGTTTTGCCCACAACAAACAAAGACATTAACTTTACTGTCACAGAGAAGTCAAGGGACGAGGAAATCATTACATTTAAGAAGCTTGAATTTCAGAGAATGAAGACTTACTCAAAGGGATTGATTAGATATCAGTTGACAGATTATTCAGTGCAATGAGGGAAAAAACAACTTCTAAAACGTAAAACTACTTGCACGCTTGAGCATGCCTTAGCTTATACTACTTTTACACTGATATGTGAGGCATCATTGAACCTCTAGATTTCTGCAGGAGATGTGACTTGCATTTCCTGACATGAAGTGCCATGCTGGTGGCAAAGAATGGAAATATGCAAAGAAATCCCTGTGTGCATGTGAGTTCGACAGATTAGCGATACTACACACGTGCACAAACAGCACTTGAGTTGAATTGCAGGCTTGAATTTATTATAATAATCAATCTCTCAGATCTACTTTCCCCTATTAATAATTATGCAATATTCAGATATGAGTAATAACTCCCACTGTACACTCAATCAACCTTTATGCATCCTGTGCAGACTGATTCTGCTGTATTTACCCTTCACTGTGTCACAGGGGACCACAAACCCCGTGATCCTTGTCAAAGTGGGCCTATGTAAGCATGACAAACTCTGACGGCTCACATAACATGGTGCAACACCTGCACTGCAAACCAGCCCTGAACCCTAACACGTCAGTAACATGTGCAACTGTTCACTAGCGTCACTTTTCTTTTCTTTTAATAGCAAGCTTCATGCTGCAGCCACAACCAGTGAAACACAAAACAATGAAGTTCAAGTTAGCGAGTCAAGTCTCCTGTCAACGTTTGCTAATTAGCTCAGTTAGCTTTTTAGCCACCATACGAAGGTCAGAATAGTTACATAGGGCTAAGCTAACAACACTACACCCCCGTCTACTGTACTGACATGACTGATTAATATCGTGCTCCAGGTAACGAGTATTTGGAGGGAGGCCAGCTAACAGGAGGACTACAAGTCACTGTGAGAAGTTCCTTACCTGTTCTCCTCACATTCTGCCGGCACACAGTCGAGGAGCTTCTAGCAAGAGGTGCAAGCTTCTTCCATACGGTCCTACATTTCAGCATCGTGGCTCCGCTGCGCTGTAACGGCTCCCAGTTTTACAAGCCGACTAGTCGGTCAGAAACACCAGCTAGTTACCGTTAATCAAGTCCTACAGCCCAGCAAGAAGCACAGACAACCAGCCGCAACGCGCCGCACGGCAAGGCCAGAGACAGGTCATACGTTGCAGGGGAGTCATGGGTAATTGTAGAGACGCTTTAACGCGGAAGATTGGTCGCCGCTGAGAAACAGAACAAGGTCTACGCCTCTATAACAAAGATGGCGTCGCCCCTGATGTCAGTGACAGTGGCGAATATGAATTCCGTAAAGATTTAAAACACTTGACATTGTATTTGTTGTTATGTTGTGCCAGAGTAGAGGGGGGCGTTTTTGTAATGCTATCGCCCACAGCTACATTATTGACGTGAGTGTGAATCCACACCTCAGCCCTGTATTAAGTGCTGTTACACCGAGTGGCAGCTGTTTCGAGATCTTTCCTTCAAGGCTCTTCGGTAACTGCCGTAAACTGTTTCTGCAGATGAAGTGCTGCTGCTGCCCTCCACAGTTGATTTAACACACACAGTTAGGAAAGACTTTCCAGGAAGAGAAAATGGGGATGAGGTTGACAGAGAAGAAGCATTCATTATAATAAGGTTGTGTGTTTATAAACACGGAAACATACTAAAAAAAATAAGAATTTCTTGAATTACACAAAACACACGAGGTATAGTGAGGTAGGTTTGTATTGTTAGTCAGTGCATACTTTCATAACACTGCAGTGTTGTGTAAATGTAGGTCAATGTATGTGGGTTTGATGGAAGTTATGTATACCCATTTTCACAGTGTTTTTTTTAACACTGAGTCATGATTTATGAATTTTAAATGGGCCCAGAGATTGACTGGTCGCCCTCTGGTGGTTACTTAAGAAACTAAAACAACATACAAGATTGAGGCTGTTTTTAATGCTGGCAGATTGCAATCAACTGCAAAGTGCAAATTTTGTTCATATTGTTGTCTTCTGCAGCACAGTCAAATAGGTTACACTATAATGTAGTTTAAATCAGTGTTATAAAGATCCCCTCAGTGACAGTCTGTAGAAGTACCATGTGTCTGCAGCAGAGGAGGCTGCATTTTCAGAAACACATTTCTAAGAATCTAGTTTTAAATTGAACTCTTTTTTTTGGGCCTGACAACATGATGGCCACTTGTTTCCTCTGAAATGGTAGCTTTTATAGGCCACAGACATTGACAGCAGCAGTTTTGGGTGGAATAAACATTTATACTCCTATTTTTTTGCACAGAAAGTTTTAGTTAGGGTGAAATAAACCTTAAAAACAGTAACTCATCCATTAAAATGTACTATATGGATGGAAGAAACCTTTAAAACCACAACTTGCAAGTTGGAAAGTACTATTTGGAGGGAGGGGAGAACAAACCTTTGACACTGTTAGTACTCAGACAGAAAGTCGTAGTTTGAGGGCAATAAACATTTGAAACTATAAATACTTGAACAGAATGTAAAAATAGTTTAAATAAACAATGAAAATCCTATCTTGTTGATTAGAAAGAACAATAAAAGTACAATAACATTTCAAACGATACATACTTGTACAGAAAGCAGTATTTTGAGTGGAATAAACCTTTACTACTTTATAAGTAATAAGTAATTAATATTCCAGTTATTGGCAGTTGGCAACAAACAGCAGTCCTAGAAAGGAAAGTTCTACAACTACAATCCTAAAACTGCAGCCTCCTCCGCTGCAGACACATAATATTGGGGCCCTGTAGCCCCTTGGTGGCAGTTCCACCAGAAGGATCCTGACCTCCTTTGTTTAAATGAAGAGTTTCCCTTTGCAGCAACTTAAGTGAACATCAGAGCCACATTCGGGATAAGATGCCTAAACACTGAGATGACACACAATCGCATTTCACATTGCAATACTTTGATACAGCTGATGAATGTAAGTATGAATAATCTGAAAGTGGAATGGGAGTGGCAGATTTACATAGTTCCCTTCACAGAGCGTTAAAAAGGCAATGAGATATGCATGATCGGTGGGACGTTGTTCTTACTGGGAAGAGAAGTTAAAAGTGTACTTCCCCCAGAATGAAAGAGAATTTCATGGAAAACAAGCTGCTGCGTTGCTGTGTTTGTGCATCTGTCTGTGTGTGTATTTTTAGTAGAATGTGCGTCTGGTGTGTTTTACGATTTATTTGATCTTATAGTAGTGTGAAAGTTGAACAATTTCATCGAAATTCGGGGTCTGCCTGATATAAACATACCACTCCTACCAGAACTTCTTGTAGTACTGCCTATAGTAATATGATTACTATTAGTGGTATTTTTTCTACTACTCCTCTCCTATTTTAGTTGATGTTTAAGTATGTTGCATAGACCAGTACTACACACAGTTTATAGTCTGCAGTGCCTCTTCTGAGAGGAGCCTTTTATACAAATACTCAGAAGTAAACAAGACAACACCCATTCATTGCTTGTACCTGCTGCAAGGCATATGAGCATATCCTGTGTGATGACCACACCTTAGAGAGGTTCCCAGTTCATTGCAGGGGAGAAAGACAGAAAAACACTCACACTCACTCACACCTAGAACCGATCTGAAATCAATTAACCAATCTAATCTATTGTGGAAAGAAAACAGAGCACCCTGGGGGGCTCTAGTAGTTTTGAAATAAATGAAAATGTAAATTAAATTGCAAAAATATATTTAGAATAGAATAGAATAGAATAGAATAGAATAGAATAGAACAGAATAGAACTTTATTGATCCCTTTGGTGGAAACCTCAGGGGAATTGCTGAAATTTACATGTCTAATGTAAAAAATAACATTAAAATCTGGCACAATTAATAATTATTTTATTTCAAACTACTAAAGCAACTAAAATTAGAATCATTGGTGACAATTAATAAAAACAAAAGTATTGGCCATTTTACATAGATTTTGTTTTCACAACAAAAATATTGAATGAATGTGTTTTCATCAGTGTACAACATTCATAAACACTGATAATCTGTCAAAATAGAGTTTTTGTCATTGGGCTGCAAGGTGGCTCAGTGGTTAGTGGTGGAGCGGTGGTTAGCACCGTTGCCTCGCGTCCCGGTGAGGACACCCAGGATCTTTCTGCGTGGAGTTTGCATGTTCTCCCCGTGCAGCGTGGGTTCTCTCAGGGTTCTCTGGCTTCCTCCCACAGTCCAAAAACGTGTTGAGGTTAATTAGTGATTCTAAATTGTCCGTAGGTGTGAATGTGAGTGTGCTTGGTCTCTAAGTGTAGCCCTGTGATAGACTGGTGACCTGTCCAGGTGTCCCCTGCCTTCACCCTGAGTCAGCTGGGATAGACTCCAGCTCCCTGTGACCCTAGTGAGGATTAAGCGGTGTATAGATAATGGATGGATGGACTTCTACCCTAAAAAAACAAACCAGCAAGACAAGTTATCTTTATGGTGATAACTTCTTTAAGTGGTGCCATGCAATAAACCAAATCACCAGCAGGGGTCAGTAGAGGTGGAGGAAACTCTATGAACAGAACTGATCATAAACGCATCAATAAAAGACCGAGTTTCAGGTAATACAGTCGTCCTCAAATGTATTCATACCCTCTCATTAAAGAAGGGGAAAAAAAACAGCTGTCACTGAAATAAGTATAAACTGACAAAAATAACAATAAATAAAAATTGAATGAAACTCATGACATTGCTTTTGAATTGTGGTTCAACAGAAATACATATATAAACAACAACAAGCAAACAAGCATGATGGGACCTGTAGACTAATATTTTGTTGAACAACCCTTTGAGCCAATCACTGCAATCAAGTGTTTTCTGTAACTCTCAATCAGACCTCTGCACCTGTTGACAGGTGTTTGGATTTCACTGCTCATCAGCAAAGTGCTCTCATTTGACAGTTTTGTTTGTTTTTCTAGATTATTCTTTTCAACCACAATTCAAAAGCAATGTCTTATTTCACTAAATTATAATTCAGTAAATTTTTATTTATTACTTTTTTCAGTTTCTGGTTATCTGAGTGACTATTGTGAGTTTTGCCTTTTGGAAGGGTCTGAATACATTTGAGGAAGACTGTATACTCAAAGTCCTTCCTGTTCTGATTTACTTTCCCATTAATATATTTTCCAATAGTACATCTTTTCCAAATGTGGCTAACCGGCGGCAGGCTTCTCGTACCATTAAACCACCCGAATACGTCTGAGTAAAGTCAAACAAGACAAGAGACTGAAGCTCAAGGGTCCATCAAAAACCAAAGAACAACATGGCCCTGGAGAGACAATTTTTTTTTCATTTGTTAGTATACTTCAGGAAACAATATGCAAAGCAATGATGTGGTCACCTTTACTGAATGTGTGGTGAAGTTCTGGTATCAATAGATAGTATGGTGGGGGTAAATAAACAGGCCTTTGCAGCTGAGGACCCTGCTCTTCAACAGTGGGGAACAAACAAATGAGAGGGATGGAACGTGCTAGAAAAACAACCCTGTGTGTGACATGCTTGTTGAAGATCTCCTGCTGTTGGTCGAAGAGGATAAAAGAAAAACCTGGGAGGGAGGAGGGGTCTGCAGGTTCAATGAGGCTTAAGACTTTCAACAAGCCACTAGCGTATGAACCAAAATAACCAGTGCTCGTTTTAGTTTAACATGTTTATTACAATACATACAATTCACATTTGACCTTTGACCTCACGTTGCCCTGCGCCGACTAAAGAGGTGCTGCATGTACACCCGCCTCTGACCCGCTGTGGCTGTAATACCGCTCCTGAACTGGGGTGCTGATGAAAACGCGTGGATATCATTGTGATTTACTGCTTATCACTACAACTGTTATAAAAAAAAGCTTTTTTTAAAAAAAATTCTGTCCTCTTCTTTAAAACTCCACTGTTAACGACTGTACAAAGGAATGAACCAGTGGTACCACCTCACATGAAAAGTGGGAGAGAGGAACAAAAGGGAAAAAAAACAAAAAACAAACAAAAAAACAGCAGGAATACAAAGAAACAACAAAAAACAAGGAGGGAGAAGTTTGAGGCAGGGAGGGTAGTGGGAATGGTCCAATGCAGCACGCCATCACATCTCATATTTAATTTTTTCAATCACTCGCTCCACCACACCACCAGGCACTGTTTTGTTCAGACTGGGAAATGCAGGGCCACCAGAAGCTGCAAACAGAT